TTGACCAAACCACACACTAGAAAGTGATGCGACGACGAAGCTTCGGTCCGTCCTGGATCATTCATGTTCCAGAACGGACCGAAACGTCGTCGTCGTCCCTTCACTTTCTAGTGTGTGGTCTGGTCAACATATTTCAGCCACGTTATTGTGACTCCTCGTCTGCAATGAAGGAGACTTTTAATAGGCGGCCAGTTTCCTGTCCTCGTCGAGGTCTCTACAGTTGGTGGTCCTCAGGTAAATTGAGGTAAAGGCCAATTTCTGAGACATGGCAACATGAATGAGGCAACTGGCAACCATTTTAAAACAAAAACATATATATCTGTGAATGTGGTGTGTCCATCACGTGATTCCTCACAGTTCATATATTGGGGTAACTACCATAATGGCTGTTAGTCTTCCAATTTGGTAGTCAAATCTGGTCTGCCTCATAGACCCCTTTGTGTTGCTGAACTCCCCCCCCCCACCCCCCACCCCACACCCCCTCTTCCTGTGTCAACGCTCTTACCCTTCCCCTCCTCTTTTCATCCCTAAATAACTCCCCCCTCTCCTCCCTTCCAATTTCTCCATTCCTGCCCATTCCCCCCTGTTCAACTACCCAAACAACGCATCTATTTCCTCTGGCATTATAGCTCCCCTCTCCCCCTCTCCCCAACTCTCATCGACCAAGCTGGTGGGTTTCATTAGCTGGATAGTTTGTCCAGTGACAATAGCAGGGGGTGGGTGACACATGCCCCCCCCCCTTCCCCAGTACCTGGCCCCCCTTCCCCAGTACCTGGCCCCCCTTCTCCAGTACCTGGCCTCCCCTTCCCCAGTACCTGGCCCCCCTTCCCCAGTACCTGGCCTCCTTACCCAGTACCTGGCTCCCCTTCCCCAGTACCTGGTGCCCCCTTCCCCAGTACCTGGCGCCCCCTTCCCCAGTACCTGGCGCCCCCTTCCCCAGTACCTGGCCCCCCTTCCCCAGTACCTGGCCCCCCTTCCCCAGTACCTGGCCCCCCTTCCCCAGTACCTGGCCCACCTTCCCCAGTACCTGGCGCCCCCTTCCCCAGTACCTGGCCCCCCTTCCCCAGTACCTGGCCCCCCTTCCCCAGTACCTGGCCCCCTGCCCCTTCACCTCTTCCTACCCGCTTCTCTTTGCTTCTCCAGTCATATCCTACCTTTCTCATTCACCTTCCTTCCCTCCTTGCTTCCTCCTCTCTTCTTATTGCTCGTTCCTTTTGTCCCATTCCTTCCTCCCCATCAACTCTCCCCTCCCAATTAGGTTTCCCCTCCCCACCAACTCCCCACTTCCCCTCTCAGCCAGCTGGTCCCGTCCAGGATGGCCGGTGGTGGTATTTAATAAATGTCACATCCATCCCTCCCATGGTGGCCTGTCATCAATGGGATGGTAGAGAGGTGGGTGATTGGTGGGTTAGCGTGGGAGGAGAGTAGGGGAGAGTTTAGGTAGAGTGGAAGGATGGGATTGGGGGAGGGGGGAGAGGGAGGGATAGGGGGAGTGAGGGAGAGAGGGAGGGAGGGAGGGAGGGAGGGAGGGAGGGAGGGAGGGAGGGAGGGAGGGAGGGAAGAGAGAGAGAGAGAGAGAGAGA